CCAAGGTAGCGTTGGGGAGGGAATGGTAGTGTTAGGAATGGTGTACGAGGGATGATGTATACGTGGTCTTCTTCTTCAGCACACATCTCGATGGAATGAGCTAAAGGATTTGTGGTTCAATTTTCTTCAAACTCGAAAGCAATCTTCCACTTACAGACCGTTCGTTTTATACAATCGCGGGAGAGAGAATAGAGGTATCGTAGTATGAGAAAGAAAACTACTGCGTCAGAGCGCCTTGAAATTGGGTCGCAGATAAGACGGCGTCAGTTTCCCTTTATTCTAGTGTTTCAACCACAACAGCAAGTTCGTAGGCATTTGCACATGAACATGCATGAACCTATTTAAATTCCTGCAGATGCCTACTTTTCCTCCAGTGAATACAGTATGATCCTATGATACGCAAATGAACGTTATATTATCTCTACCATCAAACACGATTTCTCATCCGAAAAAGACCAATCTCACAGCAACTGGCTATTACCTTTCAACATCCCTTTCTGCATCAACTTCGGGAAACGGCCGATATGTGCTGGATTAACTTCAACGTGTTTGACGTTCGAGAAGGATAGTCGAGTGAGGGTATTATCGATCAACAGATAACAATGATCCTTGAAGTACGAATCAAGCGAGAGCTTGATGCAAGAAAGAGTAGGCGATGGTTGGCACATTCTCATCGTGCGACAATACCAAGAAACCTCTTGTTCTTTCGGTAGTGATACTTGGAGAGACTGAAGAACAGGTAAAGATTCAGCGCCGAATGAACATTCTACAAAATGATTCATCTTGAGTAACTTAGGAAACGAAAGTAAATGAAATCAATCCAGCTTACCTTCATCGAAAGTGTCAATCTCGGATATTTCAATCTCAACACATTTTCTACATGAAGAGAGTGCATTGAAACAACTGAGAGGGCCAACAAAGCGGCGAAGGGAAGATATCGTCTGTGTCGAGGACACCCATTTCGGTATCGGAAGAACTACTCCTGACTTCTGAGGACAATGAAGCTCCAAAAGCGACATCGATCTCAGCCTGTCGTTGGCTGAGGTCCCACTGAATTGACTATGCCAAGGCGACATGAAACTGACTCCACGAAGAGTGAGATATTTAACATTGGGAAAGAAGCTCTCGATAAGCCTCCGAAGATCGACCAAGGAGCAGAAAGTGGTATCAAATATCTTGAGCTCTGTTACAGATGTGAATGGTCGTCGCGTCGCAAGCAGAGATGGGTTCAATATTGGTATTCCCCAAAGTGTGACGGTTTGAAGCTGTGGAAGCAGGTCCATCCGACGAAGTAAGAATCGCGTGAAAGCTTCCTTCTTGACAATTTCAATGGTATGCGTAAGACCTCGTAGGTGAGGCATTCGCTCGAGAGTAGTGAAGAACAGTTTCAACTTCGAGGGCCTCATTAGACGAGAGAATTGAATTTTCTCGTAGAGGCATTGTCGACTGATAGGCAGTAAATCATGGCAGGTGAAGCAACAGCACCAGAGAGCGATGCGAAGCAAGGTTATTCGTCCTTGGTATACTTTGGGAGAGATGTTCTCGATAACGAGTGTCATTATTTCAGGAGGTAGCCTTGGAGAACGACGCGTTGCATCAGGGACTGTGAGCCGAGGAGTGTGTAGATGGGGAGTTATTTCTTCAATTCGCATCTTGTGTATCCAAAACGATACCTCCTGTGTTATTGACGAGCGCTGGTCAGTGGTACACACAAAACATTCAAACGGATTGGTGATACTTTACCTTTGACTCGCGGGACGATAGAAAATACGACATTGACTCGGATGTTGTTGAGAGGTAGGGCTGAAGGTTCAGCAGAGTCTTGATATACCCATGATGGGTCGCTTAATTAACACGTTCTGTCCAAAAAGCTGTACGACAAAAGAGCATCACTACAAAATAATCAAACTATAGCTGCGGCATGTACTTACAAGTAGTTGGGACTTCCAAAGAATGCAATGCTTTCTGGCGCCGTCGTCACAGCCTCATTGTGTGCTGTATAGTTTATAAATTAATGAACGAAATGCCGTGGCTAGCATAGCCAGCACCGCATTTTGGGGACATAAATTTTGAAAGAATCTAAACATCATTGGTTGTGACCGAACCTTCAGAATCGTTCATTACAAGACCGATACTCAACGGATTCTCCAGATACTGATGTTCTCCCACCTGAATGAGTTGCTGTTCAAGTTCCTCATCATCGACATAGGTCCCATTTGTGGCCATGCTGAATGGTGCCCCAATATTTCCTATAGCTCGAATGGATCTGAATCGAACACTGGTCATCATTCCATTGGCACTGGCGAGAGTCGTATTAGTGTCGCTAATGACAGAGAAATGTTGAAGATTGAGTATCATCCTGCATGTAAATAGAGATAATGCGCTGCGAGGAGTTCGATTAGATTCATGAAAGGCTCGATGATTAAAATAGGAGTTGACATTACACGATGTAGAACATTTGATTTCCATCCTAATTCAACGTGCAAGTGTTCAACGACAATCTCCGAGTCGGAAGGATTTAACATCAACTTACCAAGACGGGAAATGTTATGGCTTGAGATATCGCGGTCATACTATATGAATATATCAGTACGATGACTCGTTGTCTGGGTTTGAGTTGGACGTACAGGAAATACCATGAACCTGAAAATGGATGATAAGCTACCGGTGTTCAAATGACTAACATAAGCCAGCCTACCATCTCTTACAAGCATTACAACGATTGTTGGGCTTTCTGCCTTTCCTCGCAGCTGTCTTCGTATGCTAAGCGTCTGACTTAATGTTGAGACCAACACAACAATATCCCATACAAGTAGGGCTATGGGACAAGCGAGAGCTTCAGATAATGAATGAGTTTGCTATAAGCCAAAACCGATTTCATAGGAGAAGAATACGAACGATACATCACAATCCACCAAACCCCAGTCAGCCCTACGATCTGCGAAAGAAATCAAGTTGAGAGAGAGATTTGATAGATAAGAGGACAACTTACTTGAAGTACTGACACGACGACAGGGAAGAGAGCTAACGGGGCCAACCATAGAAGATGACGATATCGTCTTCCCAGAATTGCCCATATTCGCAAACAACTGAAAGCTTTCACATTCGAGTTGAACAATGTAATTCAGACGGTCGAAACGAATATACTCACCAGTTGCATTTATGATGATAATGAGTTCTAAGATACCTATGATCAGGGCGAGAATATTCCATTCCCCTACATTGCAAACCTGGAAATGGTCAGGAGCTCATCAGGAGATGCAAGAAGGCTGAACGTACGGGAGGGATTGTTTCCGACTCAACACACCACACCTTCATGCATTGAGATGCAACATAGAGGAAACCACCATAGCGACTTATTATGAAGAAGCATGCTGGGATGAATCTGCGACGTTTCCAGATATCTGCAACTTCTCGATCGAAAGTGACCAGATACTCATAGATCATTATCGTCGCGGGGATGATGTAGGTTTCAGAGAACTGGCTAGAGTTTGTCGGAATCCAAGATAAATAAGTTTACCTCGAGAATAAGTATGAATCACGTACTCGAGAACTGCTCCCATTGTGAGGAACGATTGAAGACGAGAGGTGAGTATAGACGAAAAGGTGGGATCTATTAAGAAGGCTGAGTTACGAGGAGCGACAGATACCAACCATTTATCAATACAGCCTGCCGGGGGACCTGCCAAAGTAAGCATTCATGGTCTGGTTATGGCAAACGTATCTCTGTACAAGTCGTACACTACCTCACAAACCTGGTTTAAAAAGGGACGCTAGTGGCTATTGTAGCAATTCAGCTACTCCAAACATCTATTAAACCGACCCCCGTCTTTTTAGATCAGCATCAGGTAAGCATTGAAGGTGCTTTCTTACCTGAAGGAGTATGGTTCCGTCGAAGATGGCAGTAAGCCGATGAGCAGTGGTGGCTCAGAAAAAGATCATACATGCGCTCCCAGAAATGTTGCCACTTGACAAGTCTACACAGATGATATTAAAGAAGTTCAATTATATATTAGCAGTAGTTCAAGCTGGGGATATCACAACACAATACTTGCCAGTGTACTAGCTTGAGACCTAGAATTAAAATTAATATTATAGCATGATGACGAAATTTGGCTTACGGTTTCGGCACATGCGTAGTCGGATTCAGCTTGTAAAATGCACGTAGGAATCATCATGGGAAGGCCTAAGCAAAGGATAAGACCCAGCTAAGTTGACTGGGAGAGTAATAAGTACACGTGAAGGAGGTCATCCCTGCTAATATCTCTCGAATCATGGAAGGCTTCTCACCGGTTACTGATCAGCCTAGTCACATGCCCTTAAAAATCGCTGCGAAATAACGCAGGCAATAGTACCTAAAACTGAAGATGGGACGATTCAATGGAGTCAGAGAACGACTGAACCTGAGCATACATCAACTCCTTACCGTACGATGCTCGTACCGATTCCACAAGTAACATTGCGCTCAATTTCCCAGAGTGAATACAGCAATTTATAGCATGTAGCTTGAACAGAGTCAAAGCCTATGCAGGCGTTAGCAAAATCTTACAACGGCGTAAAGCAGCGCTCCATTAATTGCTGCATGGGTCTCCCAAGCACCGATTTAGGCACAAATTTTTCCAGGAGACTTAAAAGTTTGACCAACAAGCCCACAAAGAATGTAAGGTGAGACTCACAGTTCTGTAGACTCTCCGCTAAGAAAAAGGCAACGGCCAATCCCCAAACCTGTTAGCGAAAAAAAAAAACCCCCCTTTTTATTGTAGTAACTACTCACCAGTTTCGACAACTTCCTCATGCTGAGCTACACATAGTGACTAGTGGTTCTACCTTAATCTCAGGGCACGATTACTGGCAGTAGCTGGCAATGTCATTGTTCGGCGAAAAGTCTACGACTCATGGATGAGGAGAAAAGATTGAATCCACGAGGCTACCAAACAGTGTTTGGAAACAATAGAAGATGGTGAGACGGATGAGTATATGGTTATGTCATATGTTGACACGCCTGCCTAGCTCAATCGGATAGAGCGTCAGACTTTTAAGGCATTGGCTTGACATCTGAAGGCTGCGGGTTCGACCCCCGCGGTGGGCTTTGGGATTATCTTTTGATATTTTTCAATCGTCCGTATACAGTAGTTATACTGACATCTTTCCAAAAGTCATTTTTTCTTTGGACCAACATGATTTTTGAGATTGCATTTGAATGCTTGATTATAAGGTCAGGATGGGCGCTCCCGAAAATCCGGGGAGGAATTGAAGTCAAACCTGTACATGTAGCGCCTGTATGGTAGAAATCTATCTCTCCTCCTCCTCCTCCTCCTCCTCCTCCACTCGTTCACCAGTGTGCATTTTCAGCTAGCCATCACTTGTAAACACGACCTGTTTAAACTGGTTTCTGGTCTACACTTTACGACTCGTGCCTAGAAGATATTCAAGTCCGATTGCTATCCTCGGATTATTCGAGCGGATAGCTTCGCTGATAAACTGGAGAACAACGGTCTTCAGGTGAGCATCTCCTCTCCGTACTTTGGTGATGAAGTTGACTTTGATGGCCTATTCAGCTGCACCTTACACTGCCTTATAGGTGATGATTTATGTGGCTAGTATCACAAAGGACGGCGAGGCGAAGGGTATCGACAATGCCTCAACTTCAACTCACTGGTCTCCTTGCAGGCAACAATCGTAGGAGGTATATGTCGCTTTTGGAGCCTTATTGTCCCCAAAAGTCTGCTGTGGTTCTTCCAATTTCGAAATGATATCCTCACTTCGTCGCTTTGTTGGACCTCCCAGTTGCTTTAACGCGTTGCCTGGAAATGCGTTGAGACCGATGTCGATAGTGTTGACGAAGGTAAGCTCAGTATTTGATCTACGTCTATGTAATGCTAATGTGGATGATTTCGTAGAATGTTCGTTCGGTACTGAATCTGAACTGGATCTTCAGTCTCTCCAAGTGTCTCCTCCGGCCCAACGAGAAGTTTCTTGGTACTGTCGTACGATGGGACAATACCACCCATCGCCTATTCAAGTTGTTGCTTGATTACTACCTCAAGGACCATTGTCTTGATAAGTAATTCCCTTTCCTACCTCATTTCCGAACGTCAAACACGTCGAAGTTTATCCAATGGAGATTGGCCGTTAGGCACGGAGAAATACACAGTCGTCGTAAGTATAAGCTCTACTTCGAATCATTTCCTGTCTGAGGCTTATGGTACAGAAAATAGGCAATATGTCAACTTGTATATCATCTGGTCGTGCTGTATCAGGTGTCCGTGTTGAGAACTGCGGCGGATACGTGTATCTTGATATTGGTACCTTGGATATGACGAATAAAACCAAAACTTAAACATCAACCATGAACGTTGAAGGTTTATTGCTTCAGTCCCAGATCGTCAAAAAGGATCTTCCTAAAGCCCACCGCGAGGGTCGAACTCGCAGCCTTCAGATATCTAGCCAACGCCTAAGAGTCTGACGCTCTATCCGATTGAGCTAGGCGGGCTTGTCCTATAACAAATGGTTCAGTTTTAGGAAATTCCCGCCATTTGCGACTGGTAGCCTCGTGGTCGGTAGAATCTAGATGTTCTACTAGTGCTGTGGACAAATTGACTTGGAGATTAAGGAGATTAACCTCAAGTGGAGAAGCCCGACGCCAGTTCATGGTTAGTCTCCGTTGTTGACTTAATGGAAAAGACAGTCGTTTTCCATAGAGGTCTGCTGGCGTACACGTTCAAAAGTAGTCTCCGTTGCTGGTTCATGGTAGACTATAGACTAATCAGACACTCTGAAGCCGGCAAGTTCGACCCTCGCGGTGGGCTATGAGTGTAAGAACTTGGCCACATCTATGACACGTCGAGGTTCCCTGAACAACAAAGTACGAGTATATGGATATATCGTCGTCCGACGACCAGCCTGGCGCGCGGCCCTTCCTTGCGACCTCACATTCGAGAGAGATGCAAGCATGGATTCATGTTTTCCACCTCGTAAGTGTTTCATTCTTCATATCAACTTTCGTTTCAACTGAGTACTCCACATTGTTGCAGGCTCGAATGGACTCGTCGCAATCGATCTCAATGTCCCTTTCGAGATTCAAACGTATCCAGCAACTCTCAAGATCCCTAGTTCGACAATATAGGGATATATCATCGTCCCACGAACAGGGCGATAGCCCTGCTTCCCTACTCCATCTTCAAGTCTTATTTGAATGTATATCGACTTTATTTATCTGGTACGTCTCTCTTAGTATCTTCTTCCGGCAACCATTGCGCAAGCCGTGCCTTTGTATCACCGTTCCAAGACTGTTTTCCCAGACATTTCTAGGCACTTTCAATTATCACGGGTGGGCACGTGGTTAGCCGATATATGTATGGATCGCGTTTCGGCAAACAGGGCAAGACCAGAGTCTTCAAGATGGATTATCGAGGGTGTTTCCGACTCATACATGGATCTGGCGAAAGAGATTCACTCTGAGGATGCCTTGATCGACGTGGCATGACTTCTGCTCCGAGTCACCTGGACGAAAGCTTTGACTTCGAGTGGACGTTCCAAACGATTGTAAGTCTTCATACTGTTATCGTTTGTTATTAGTAACTTGTATTCGACACCCAACGTCTCCAGCCACTCTCAAACGAAACCGTTCATCACCATTTCTTACACTGGCGAAGATTAACCATGTTGTTCCAGACCGGCCAGTTTCATAGAAAGCGTCGACAGTCGAAGATGATGAAAGTACTTGGAACTCGAATGCCGTTTGTTGGGAAGAACTTGAGAAGGCAGAAAGTGTGTCTCAGGCTTTAACTCGTCCGATTCACATGGAGCGCCCTGAGAAGCCATCGGTGTGTGCTTTCTGAATGCACTTCTTCAACAAAATTGAATTTGAGGTTCTTACGTTCTAGATCTTGTTTTCTAGTAACTACATACTCTGTATGTCTTATCATGAATCACTTCTGCCATGATGATAATATTTCAGATTATGCGACGTATTGTCTTCTTGGAGTTCAAGGTTAACGTTCAAGTTCTCCAGAGTTTTCAGCAAATTTATATCCCAAATGGCTCTCGAATAGACGATGACATGGATTCGGAACCCATGTCACAGGAGTCTTCAAGATTCCCAGAATGTAAACTCGAGCAACTACTTATAATAGCTAGGAATTTCTCATGTTCACTGGCACAGCCCTTCAACGTGAAAGTCCTGATAGCATACCTTTCATCCGGTCGCACATGTCCTAACGGCGATAAGGTGTATCAACATAATCCTCCTCAAGCATGTCAGAGGATTCAAATCTGTCAATGTGCATCTTCTTGCGTCGGTATATCAATGATGTACTGAAGTTTTCTGAGACGTGATTGCATATTGCTTGGCCATGCGCTTTCTTATAATACGGGTACACACACAGGACTTAGTGTGACTTGGTGGGTGCTATTTCCTCAATCCTCCGCTTCTCTACTCACAGATCACATTATCTCCAGGCCGACTACCGTGGATGAAAAATGGAACTACAATTCCATCCTGACTTGTAGGTGTCCGCTGGTCTTATCGATACTCAAAACTTACCATTTATAGAGTAAACCTCCTCGTCGTCGTCATTCTTCCAACCATCGTATTCTACGAATATCTCATCACGCTCCAAACCGAGATAAGCGACATATGGAGATGGAAAACCTTTCGAATATGCCCTGGATGTTTGTTCGTCATGTGTCGTTATGGAGGAATCTCTCGTGCTGTGATTCAAATCATCGCTGCGATTTACGTCCCAAAGTTGGCTACGGTATGTGCTATCGCTTTTCTCTCTGTGAAATCATCTTAAATGGGTACAGACAAATGTTCTTAATATCTTACAAGAAATCTTGGATCTTATCATCATCATCAATGCCACTGGTATAGATCCATCATCTCTTTCTAACTGAGACGTACTGAATAATGCCCTTTCCTTTATTGAAGCATTCACCTGCCTACGAGTTTGGGCAATCCTTGGACGAAGACGTCGACATCTGATATGGCTCATTCCTTTGGCTTTCCTTCCCATCGGACTATCGATATTCCAGGTACGACCTCCATCGACGTACGATAGTGACTGATCTTCATCTAACCGTGTCTTAGGTGATTGGACCAAAATTAGTTCCACACGGCACTGAACTGGACGTCGCATGGGGTAATTTGCTGAAAGTCCTGTTTGTTCGTACGTGATGTTCCGTTCTTACTTCCCTCATCCTCCGATGCTCAGTGACTACCATCTGTAGCTACATGGGCCATAGCCTTGCTTCTTTGGGATATCGTCGTTTTAGTTTCGACTTTATTCCAAACCTTTAGGATAAGGAGAGAAATAGGGTCGCAAAGTTCGATATCGGTGTTGCTTGTCAGAGATGGTAAGTCTTCTTGGTTGCATTTGCTTCATGACTGTATGTATTTCCGAGCCATGAATACTTACTGGCATTTACTCTTCGGTGCAGGCTCATGGTATTTCGCGTAAGCACACTCGTTCAAAACGGGGTCTGACTGGTTCTGATTTGAAACTTCGGATGATAGTATCATCGGAATCACCCAAGTCGTATCATGGGCACTTTCAGTAAGTTTTTCACAAGACTCAACTTTCTCTTTTCTAACTCTATCAATTCTATTTGCAGGTCCCTGGCCAACCAATTTACTCCATGTACGTCTATTCTCGCCCGTACCTTATTTATGCACAACAATTCAACTAGTGACATCGCAGAACCCTCTCTTTGATGACATGTCGCATGATACTGAACCTCCAACGATTCTCAGTTCTCAGTTCAAGCTCCACAAATTCCATTTCCAACCGCCCGAGCTCACCATTTACCGCTGCTGCGAGAGGTAACGACGGAATGATCAGCACACTTCGGTTTGGAAGTGGTTTAGGCAATGTCGGTGCTCCGTTTTCATTCTCGATTGATGAGGAAGACGAGGATGAAGGTGTCGTAGGAGAGCAAGAGTATTTGGAGAATCCGCTTAGGATTGGACTTGAATTGAAAGGACGAGGACAGAAACGCAAGAGTCGTGATGAGGGGAGTGAGGGAAGTGGAAGGTCTTCTTTTTTGTCTTTTTCTTCCTATCAAATCACTGCGATGTAGATCCTTCGG